GCTTAATGAGCTGATTTGTCTTTGATTTTCCTTTTTTTGCTATGTGGATGGAATGAATTTTATGCTCTCTATTTGGATTCTTTATAAGTTTCAAGATCGATGGAGCAATCTTATATTTTTATTGTTCTTCCTTTCATGCAATATAAATGACATGTTTAATAACTCTGAGAAACGAAAATTTCCGGCACAAGAGCTTCAGCCACCTGGTATATGCAAAAGTGATTATTTTATTTATACTTCTTGTGAGAAACTAGTTTACATGTTCTCATTTCCTGTGTAGAGGAATGTCATACCTGGAGTCTTATCTTCTTCACTATTTGAGTGTATAGCTTTCAAGATATTTCTCCTATGGGGACTTCCAAATTGTTGGGTGTGATATCACCGTTAAATGAGCTGTTAGCAGAGCCAAATGGAAATTGCTGTTTTTTTGGGCCTCAATTAACTTTATATATGAAAAGTAATTACCCTATTTGGATTTCCAGGGAAAACCGAATGCATCGCTTATGAGTAGCCAAGAGTGTCAGTTTCGTATAGCACCAGTAGGGTTTTTATTTTATTATATCTATTTCAAAACCTGTTAACCTTCTACAAATTGGTAGTCTATCTATGGAATATGGAGTGAACTTAGGATTTTGGTTCAGAACTATGTTGAAAGAAGTCACAAAAAATTACTCTTGGTAGATTTTGACCAGTACCAAGAATGGTCAACATTGATGAGATGGCTTTTTCTTCTTTCAGTAAGAATGGCTGATTAATTGTTTGTTTTTTGTTCAATATATTTTTCCTCACTTTTTTTTCTGTTTATGCTTAACAATTTGCTTAATGTTTATAAATGCATATTAACAAAATTGTTGTTTTTCCCCGTTGCATAGGAACGGGAAAGAGCTGGTTTCTCTGATGATAGCTTCCCTGGTGTTCCAGTTTTTCAGGTCCTTTATAACAGTGGTTTATACATTCTTCATTTGCAGCTTATATGTCTGTGTGTGCATTTGTGCATTATTGGGTGGAAATAATGAATAATCAAATATCTTCGTAATATGTGATAATCAGCAGTAGTTGCAATGCATTTCTACTAGTTATAACTATGCACTCAAATACTAACTAGTATATAGTTATAACTAGTAATTCCATTAGACTAGAATAAGATTATAAAATTCTTTAAGCATTTTTTCCGCCAATGTTTTTTGCCCTACAATTTTCTGTTGAAAGATTTGATATTGTTGAAATTTTTGGCTTTCAGTCTAGGAGCTTGGTATTAAGAAGTCAAAATAAGAGTTATCGACCAGTTTTCTTCCGAAAGGTTGGTAAATTCATAGTCTTGTTATATGTGTGGTATTCATGGATAGTCCTCATTTTTTTTGCTTCAGATCTTATGTTTTCAAGTACTTTTAGGAGGATTTAGAGCAATCACTGCTGAGAGCTTCTCGTGATCAGAATCAATTGAATCCTGCTTTAAGACCTGGGGATATTCAGGTAGGCTGCTGTTTTCTTGAAAAGAATAAAAATTTGAATAAAATTGATTTTATTCACACACACTGACACATATATAGTAAGTTATGGTTTATAATTCAATAATATGCTTTCTTTAAAGTAATGTATATTAAAAAAATCGCAGGTTGCTGTTTTTGAGGACATAATCAAGGGGATGAAAGTAAGTTGCTACTTTGCATTAACAATTGTCTTGTAGTACGGGAAGTGGAGCTTTAGGGATAAGAACCGTTTGCTTTTTTTAATCTGTTAAATTTGTCAATTAAAATTTGCAGGACAGTTCTATGTCGAATTGGGATGATGTTGTTTTCATTCCTCCTGGTTTTGATATTTCAACCGACCCCACCCAACAGCAACAATAGGCAACTAAACTAAACGAGTTGGTAATGAAATCTTTTGCTAGTATTTAATTTATAGAGAAAATAACCTCAGTGACCAAAAATCTTAGATAATATACGATTTTGACCAATTTTTTTTGGATTTGCGAAAATGACCAACAAAATCGCAATGCGATCTCTAATTCGCATTGCGATCTCCACTATCGCAAATTCACGTTGCATTTCGCATTGCGATAGTTGAAAATCGCGTTGCGTTTTTCCATTTCGCGTTGCGATAGTTGGAGATCGCGTTGCGATTTTCCATTTCGCGTTGCGATAGTTGAAATCGCAACGCGATCTCCATCATCGCAAATTCGTGTTGCATTTCGCGTTGCGATAGTCTACAGTCGCGTTGTGATTTTCCATTTCGCGTTGCGATAGTTGAAAATCGCGTTGCGATTTTCCATTTCGCGTTGCGATAGTCTACAGTCGCGTTGCGATTTTCCAAATTCGTTGTGATAGTTAAAAAAAAGATTTTGTTTCTTAAGAATTTTCTCTAAAAAGATAGTATCCGCGCGGACGTGTCGAAGACACGTATTACCACGACCACGACCACGACCACGACCACGACCCGAGACGAGACGAGACGGACGGCGGTGGCGGTGCGCGAGAGTCCCCCTTGTTCTCTATCACTCCACAAGGAAGTGGGAAAGCCAAGCCTTAAATATCATTCCCAATAGTGTTTCCAATACAATGTGGGATTGAGCATTACCAACACTTGTTTCCAATACTATGTGGGATTGAGCCTTAAATAGTGATATCACTTCCTTGTTGAGTGATAGAGAACAAGGGGGACTCTCGCGTGCCGCCGTCGCCGTCCGTCTCGTCTCGTCTCGGGTCGGGTCGGGTCGTGGTCGTGGTCGTGGTCGTGGTCGTGGTAATACGTGTCTTCGACACGTCCGCGCGGATACTATCTTTTTAGAGAAAATTCTTAAGAAACAAAATCTTTTTTTAACTATCACAACGAATTTGGAAAATCGCAACGACAACTGCAACGAATTTGGAAAATCGCAACGACAACTGTAGACTATCGCAACGCGAAACGGAAAATCGCAACGCGACTGTAGACTATCGCAACGCGAAATGGAAAATCGCAATGCGATTTTCAACTATCGCAACGCGAAATGGAAAATCGCAACGCGATTTTCAACTATCGCAACGCGAAATGGAAAATCGCAACGCGACTGTAGACTATCGCAACGCGAAATGGAAAATCGCAACGCGATTTTCAACTATCGCAACGCGAATTTGTGATAGTGGAGATCGCAATGCGAATTAGAGATCGCATTGCGATTTTGTTGGTCATTTTCGCAAATCCAAAAAAAGTTGGTCAAAATCGTATATTATCTGAGATTTTTGGTCATTAAGGTTATTTTCTCTAATTTATATTCTTGCACCTGATTATATCGACTTTCTGGGATGAACTTACAAATGCAATTTGATAATGAAATGATGAAGTGCAGAGGTCTAATGTGCATTCTTTCATATGACAGCTTGTCGGTAATTAAAATCTTTGGTTTGTTTCTATTCCTCCATTCCTCGTGGTTTTGATGTTTCAACCAATCCCTACCCAACAACAACAGTAGGCAACTAAACGAGTTGATAATGAATTCGTTTGCTTTGCTAGAATAAAATTTATATGCCTGCACCCTGTTTATATCGAGGTTCTGGGATGAACTTACATGTTAAGCAATATAGATAAAGAAATGTTGAAGTGCATAGATTTAATGTCCGTTCATTCATACGACAATTTGTATGTAATGAAACCTTTAGTTATTTTTTATTCATTGATTCCTCTTGGTTTTGATGTTTCAACCGATCCCCGCCCAACAACAATAGGCAACTAAACAAGTTGGTAATGAAATTGTTTACTTGTATGCTTTCAACCCTATTTGTATCGATGTGTTGGAATGAACTTGTATGTCATGCGATATAGATGATGAAGTGTTGGAAGCGTAGAGATTTAATGTTTATTCATTCAAATGACATTCTCAGATGATCTACTTGATTACGCGGGCTGGCCTTCTTCAGCCATGGATTCGAGCTCGACTGCTTAGAGTTCTTGGTCTGTTGTTTTGGGCTCTTTTGAGAAGTAAGATGTAATATTTGTGTTATCTTCTTAGTTGCATATACTTTACTATGTTGGTTCTGGTTTTGAATCTGCTTACAGAAGGCAGAGGTAGACGTGTTTCTAAATCGAGTTTAGCTGGACTGAAATAGATACAACAAAAGCATGGAGATTTGTATAAATTACACTATTTAAGATTTTTTAATAATTCTTTTTTCTTAAATGAAGTATGAAGAATAGGTAAAACTTTAGTTAAAACTTATAACACTGAATATAGCATAAACATATACCTTTTCTTTAATTTAATTACGATGAGAGATTATGTAAAATATGAATGGTATGTTTCGCATGATAGAATAGGAAAGAGGGATTGTTTGCTCAAAGTAATTGAAGAAATGGTTAAATTATCTATTAGGCCCAAAACAATTTGGTGGCTTCATTATGCATGGCTAAGCAATTTGGGTTCATAATCTAAAACAATATATATATATATATATATATAGACTATATAATCTAATGTCTAATATGGGATTTACCCTAGTAGTTGAGGTGCCATTGTTCTTCCCCTTGGTCTAAGGTTTCAACTGCCCCATGTATTTTTTTTCTCTAATTTGTTTCTCCCTTAAATTTGAGTTGATTTTTTAAATTAAATTAATAGAAAATGTAGGGAGGATCCATAAACAATTATGTCAATTTTATTAACTATCATGTCAATATCACCGTCAAATGTTAATCGTCAATGGTTTGATTGGCAACAATCAAATAGTTTAGTGGTCTGATTGATAAAATTAAAAGATTGATTGTCAAAATGAAAAGGAGTAATAATCAAGTGTTCATAGGTATAATTTACCCTTAGGAATATATGAAGAAAACATTGCTTCTAATGTCTAGTGAGTTTATAAATGAAGAAAATAGTTAACACTAAAATCTCATTGATATTTTCTTCATTATCAGACATTGAAATTATAAAATTTGAGCATCATCATGAAAGATCAATCACAAAAACTTTTAGAGGAAACATTCAACTAGTCTACAGCAGACAATGATTCAATTTTCAAGTTTAAACATAAAAAAATCTCACAAGAAATGAGAAATGGAATCAAAAAATCATCATCCTCTTTAAGTTGGGATCATAAGTTGTTCCTCATCACTTCCAGCAAATTCAATGTACTGGTTATCAAAAACAAACAAGAGCAAAAGTTCTTCACTCATCTTCACCATTTTGTCAACCTATGCTTCAACAGCTCCAATGTGGCTGAAATGAGTCTTGGATGTTCCAGGATTGAGCACCTTTGATACTCAATAATCCATGTTTTTGGATCCAACTGTACAACAGAGGCACCCCATTTGCTTTGCTCCCATGAAGCATTTGCCTTTCTTGTTACAAATCCATGCTTTCCATTGGACCACTGTAAAATCCAAAACAATATTAAAATTTGATCAAGCTGGTTCATTTTTGAATTTGGTAAAAGATTAAAAGTATAGTTATTTACCTCTGTTACTCTTCCAGATAATATGGTGAAAGATTTGGAAGAGAATCCAGTGGCAAGCAACCCTGCAGTTGCAGTGGCCATCCCCAAATTCTTACTTCTTCCATTGATGATTTATACATTAAACAATGTGAATTCAGAAGCAAAGTATCCTGCACTTGTTAGTCCAACATTTTTCATTTTTATTAAGATATTCGTATCAAAAACATATTCATACATAGCGTAGCATGTATCGGATACATAAAAAAAGTTTTGAAATTTAAACTAGAAGAAAAGTTTTAAACCTGGTCGATTTCCCATATGGAATCATTATTGCTGCAATTTGAAACATTCAGATTATGAAATCCCTTCAACTCATTTTGCAGGAACCTCATTTTTGCATTCAAATCTTGCATCATTGAAGCCCTTTCACCGATGGTTCTCACAATTTCGCTTGTCAAAACTGGCTTAAAAAACCAACCAAGAATCCAAGAAAACCCAATCTCCATTACAAGAACAAGATTCAACCCAATAACAATTTCCAGAATACACTAGCAAAACCACCTTTCTTCTTCTTCTCTTCCTTCTCCTTCATCTTCTTCTCTCTCGCGTTTAATCTAGCGGTTGATTTAAGAGCCGGAGATTCCACCAGGCAACAGGAACTCGTTCCGGGTGTCGATATCACCGAAGGGTTGAAAGAGATCGGCAAGTGGTTGAATTTTGGCTTGGAAGCCGAGAGTTTAGTGAAGGAGCTTTTCTGGACGCTAAAGGACATGAGATCGAGAGTGGCGTTGATGCTGGCCAAACACATCTCGCAGTTGCAATTGTCGTCTTTTCTGCATCCGGGGTAATAGCAGCTGTCTCTGGTTTCGGTACGGAAGTCGTCTTCCATTGTAATGGTGGTCGATTTCATTGAAGACGATGATGAACTCATCTGGGGTTTCATGGCTTCTCTTTTTGTGATCTGTTTTTTTTTCTTTTTTCCTCTTTTGAAAACTAATGTTGTTAATAGGCTTAAATGAGATCTCACGGATATATGCCTTAGGTTTTGAAATTTGAACCTCAAACGGTCATATCATGTGGGATTTTTATTTGTTTATTTGTTTTAACTTGTGATAATTTTAGAAAGAAGGAAAAAAACTAAAATTAGGTAATTTTGTTTTGATACAGTTTAATTTAGGATAAAGTACAAATGGTCCTCCGACTATAATGTATTGTTTTGTTGAGTCTTCGACTATTAAATTACAAAATGATCCCCTATTATAAGAAGTTATTTTATTGAGTCCCTCAACTATACATTATGTTCCAAACTCATCATTTTTCATTAAAAAATTAACGGTCGTCTGAGTTTGACATTAATATGTTGACTGAGATATGATAGTCATTTCATGTTATGGGATCATATTTTATTATATCTCAGTTAGCAGACTAACGTCCAGTTCAGACTGCTATTAATTTTTAATAGAAAATGATGAGTATGTAACATAATAAATAGTCGAGTGATAATTTTGTTACTTTTAATAGTCAATGAACTCAACAAAGCAACTCATTATAGTCAGGGGATCATTTTGTAACTTTTAATAGTTGAATGGCACAACAAAGTAGTATCATATAGTTAAGGGATTATTTGTGTACTTTACTTTTTAATTTAAGGTGATTTTTAACCTAAAATGTTATCATATTCAACCTAAAAAATTATAGGAATTTATATCATTTTCTGTTGTAACTGAAAAGTTAGATTTTGAGAGTTTAGAGTTTACAACTGAAAAGTTATACAAATTTGTGATACTCTCTTCATTTCAACATAAAATGTTATTAAGTCCAACCTAAAAAATTACACTTTTGATCATATTTTCGATTGCAATCAATTTCTACCAATTTTTAATCTTATATTAACAAGTTGTATTTTAGAATTTTCGCCAAAAGTTACCTCTTATTAAATAAATAACTAGCATAACCTTCTTAAATCACCATGCTCAAACGAATAATTTCAAGTCAAATTTTACAATCAGTTTTCTTTTTACCATATTTAAGTTACAAATTTAATTTACATACTCTAATTTAATTAATTTTAATTTTTTTATTATTCAACTTTAAAATTTTCATTTTTAATATCAATAAAATAAATAGTTTAAATAATTTACAAAAAATAAAATGATCAAAATAGATAATATAAAATAAATTATTTAATAGTAAAATTTAGTTTAACAAATTTTATAATTATTATTTAAATTAAGATAAAAATTTTAAAATTTAAATAGTATAAAAATTTAAAGCGACTAAAGTAAAGTATATCAACTAAACATACAACTTTTTTTCATAATACAGATGCTAGTAGAAGAAATTGATATGATTTTTATTTGTCTTTGATTTGTTTTTGTAAAAATATTAAAAAATTTGTTGGTGAGTTTAATTTGTTTAATATTATAGATTTTGGTTTTATTCACTTAATTTAAATAATCATGCTTATGAAAACAAAAGTATATTTTTGTAAATAATTAAAGATTCCGTTTAATATTTATTGTTTGGTTTTAATCGAATTATCGATCAAAGTGAAATTTAGTTTGGTTAACCCATATGCTATTAGATATTAGATTAGTTAACAGTTAAAAAAAATCTAAAGTTCGATTATCAATTAACTCTATTTAAAATCGTTTAATTAATCGAAAATATTAAATATTTAATATATTAAATATTAAATATATATATTTTAAATTCTAACCAGTTAAGAATTACCATTCAACTATTTTTTAATCACATTAGACTTATTAAACTTTCAAGACTCAATCAAATTTTAACCAAAATGAAAAAACTACCTCTAATAAACTCAAATTGATTTAATTTAAAAAATTACAAAAAATGATATATTGAATAAGGTGATTCGTATATGAGCATAATTGAAATCACAAATGTGATGGTTAACTAACTAGTGTCCACGAGTGGTGCTTGAGAAAACACTACAACACCTGTGTTGAGTTAATCGATCGACGGAATAGGTCAAGAGGGGGGTGAATTGGCAATAAAAAATTTCGGTGGAAGCTTTTGCAGAAAATTGAAAATATTTGCACAGCGATTTAGAGTGGTTCAACTTTCTCAACCAAAGTTTACGTCCACTACCTTAGCTATCCACACTAAGGATTTTCCACAAATTCACTAATTTATCTTTCTTTTGAGGACAAAGAGTAACCTTACAAATCCCTCAAGAATTATACCCAAAATTCTTAAGAATACTCTCTCCCAAAGAGAACAATACAAATTTTGCAAACTTACAAGAAAATCCTCACAAGGCAAGATGTTTGCACAATTCTAGAACAAAGAAAGAACACTCAAGAATAATACAATTGAGCACAATAAGTGTTCTTCAAAAAATGAATATTGAATGAAATTTGGCTTGAAATTGCTCAAACTTGAGGTTTGATGCTTTCTCTTTGATTCTCTATTGATTCTTGTTTCTTGTTGTTTCTTCTTGTTGATCAATGGTTTCTAAACTTGCTTAAATACTCCTTCAATTGATTCTGAACGTTGGGGATGATTAGTGGAGTCAATAGAGTCGTTTAAGTGTGAAAACAATTAATAAAACAGGTGGGAGCGTATGGTGCATCGATGCATAGGGCTAGTGCATCGGTACACTATGTGTAAAATTCAAATATTTCAACCGTTGAAAGATTTAGTGCATCGGTACATTGAGGGTGCATCGATGCATAAAATACATTCGGTGTTTTAAAATAGCCTGAGTGCATCGATGCATAGCTTGTGCATCGGTGCATTGAATGCATTCGATGTTTCTATTTGTTCAAAAGTGCATCGATGCATAGAGAGTGCATCGGTACACTAAATGCATTCAAAATTCAATTTAATTGAGAATGCATCGATGCATGGACTAGTGCATCGATACATCTCTTTGAAAATTGAAAATTTGGCTCATTTTTGGTTCAAAATACTTTGTGAAAATTGTTTCAAAACATTTTAAGATTAAAACACAACTTTACACTTTAGTAAGGATTTAAATTGAATTTTGAAAGACTTGGAGTAATATTTTGATATTCGAATAAATATATCGAATATACTTTAGAAAATCTTTTGTAAAATCTTAAAATTCATTTAACTTAATTTGTTATATCGTAACATCAAAATGTTTTCAACAATCTCCCCCTTTTTGATATAACAAAACATTTTAGTAATTTTAAGATTTTCTAATAAGTTTTGAAATCAAGTTTTGAAATTACTCCCCCTTACTTTAACACTTCTCCCCCTTTTTGTTAAATAAAAAAAAGACCCTAAAACATTTTTAAACAAGGTTTTGAAAAATTAGCCAATTGATATTTAGAAATTTAAAGCTTAAGCTGCTAAGATCACAATCAAGAGAAAGGTTAGCCATTAGTTGCATAATTCAATATTCATACATAAAATGTGTAATGGAGAATAGGTCATATATGTCTAAATGATGCAAAAATTAAGATAAAAATTCAAACACACCAAATATGTATTAAGTTCAAATATCCAAGCATCCAAAACATAAATCCAAACATATAATCATCCAAAATCAAACAACCAAGGAACATCCATACATTCACGTATCTCCCGTTGAAACTCAGTCAGTTGAGATTCCATGGAGACAAACCTCAGATCAAATGATGTTGAGTTAATCGATCGACGAATATGGCCAAGAGGGGATGAATTGGCAATTAAAATTTTGGTGGAAGCTTTTGCAGAAAATTGAAAGTAATTGCACAACGATTTAGAGTGGTTCGACTTTCTCAACCAAAGTCTACGTCCACTGCCTTAGCTATCCACACTAAGGATTTTCCACAAATTCACTAATTTGTCTTTCTTTTGAGGACAAAGAGTAACCTTACAAACCCTCAAGAATTATACCCCAAATTCTTGAGAACACTCTCTCTCAAAGAGAACAATACAAATTTGCAAACTTACAAGGAAATCCTCACAAGGTAGATTGTTTGCACAATTCTAGAATAAAGAAAAGAACACTCAAGAATAAATATGATTGATCACAATAAGTGTTATTGAAAGCAAAATGAATATTGAATGAAAAATAGGCTTGAAATGCTCAAACTTGATGTTTGATGCTTTCTCTTTGATTCTCTCTTGATTCTAGTTGCTTGATGTTTCTTTTTTTTTTTATCAATGGCTTCTAAGCTTGCTTAAATACACCTTGAATCACTTCTAAACGTTGAGGATCATTAATGAAGTTATTGTAGCCATTTAAGTGTGAAAACATTTTAATATTTCTGCTTGGAGCTTGGGGGAATCGGTACCCCTCATGGGGAATCGGTTCCCTAAGTGTAAAATTCAAATATTTCGACCGTTGAACAGTGGGGGGAATCGGTACCCCTGGGGGGAATCAGTTCCCTCCGAGCATACTGGAATTCTCGGAGCCAAACCATTCAGGGGGGAATTGGTACCCCCTTGGGGGGAATCAGTTCCCTCTGAGCAATCTGGAATTTTTGGCTTTGAAATGGTTCGAAATATTTTGTAAAATCGTTTTGAAATTATTTTAAGATTAAAACTTAATTTTACACTTGAGTAAGGATTTAAAATGAACTTTGAAATACTTTGAGTAATATTTTGATATTCGATTTAATATATCAAATATGCTTAGAAAAATCATTTTCAAAATTAAAATTCTTTTAATTTAATTTGTTATATCAAAACATCAAAATGTTTTCAACAATCTCCCCTTTTTTGATATAACAAAACATTTTAAGATTTTCTAATTTCAAAATGAATTTTGATTTTGAAAAATACTACTCTTTACTTTAACACTACTCCTCTTCAAAAACGCTTTTATCTCCCCTTTTTTGTTAAATCAAAAAGACTCGTAAAAGATTTTAAACAAGGTTTTGAAATCATTTAGCCAATTGATTATAAATATATATAGCTTAAACTGTTAAGAACACAATCAAAAGAGAGGTTAGCCATTAGTTTCATAAACAATATTCATAAACATGTAATGGATAATTTGTCATATA